TAACATGTAATATTGAGTTCAAACAGTTCCCGAAACGAAAAAGCAAACATTTGATTTTTGTTTCGGCGACTGAATCGTCGATGGGCCGACAAATATTTGTTGTCGAGTAGTGTTGAATACTCATATCTACATGATTATTGATTCAATTTAAGAATTGTATATAAATATCTTTGACCAAGTTTAATTTTCAATGAGAATGCACCCAGCACTTGGCGCGCGCGGCGGCTTTGATGTTAGCGGCTACAGGTTAGGCAGTTGTAGCGCGATGCGTTACTGTGCCGCGCCGCGCACTTACTGGGCTGCGCTCAGCCTGTCATTCCGCCAAATCTTGTTAATGAACATAATAGCCTGGGGTCCTCAGGTAAGCCGCGCACTCAATGAGGCATCTCACGTTCACATAGCCATGTGTCTACGCGTACTGCGTGACGCGCTTGTTTCACTACTGCAAGCGAGAGGGCTCTGGTTAGAGCAACTTCTCGCGCACTAGATCGGCGTTGTATCACGTGTAGACCCCATTGTCTCTTCACTATATAATAGTGTGTATCTGTAAAGTTTCTATGATACAGGGGGAGCCGCGCACTCGTGCGCGGCGGGTTATACAACGTATGACAACATCGGCGAGATGCGCTACTGTGCCGCGCTGAGCTGCGATGAATTGACATCGTCAATTAAGTTAGGCAGCTGCCGATAAGACGCCACGTGCGTTCAGCGTACGGCTTTTCGTTTTTGATTTTACAAAATAACTCTTAATGATTATTAATGAAATTATTGGATATTTATAATTTAATATGTATTGATTCTTCTGTGGAAAATAAAAATTGTATTTTACTTAAATTGTATTTTACCTATACTTACCTGAGGACCCCAGGCTATTATGTTCATTAACATTTAATAATAAAGATTTGGCGGAATGACAGGCTGAGCGCGGCCCAGTAAACCTATACAAAAAATCTCTTCTAAAATAGGTATAAAGATGCATAACTCAAAACACACAAACAAATCGTTTATAATCCATATATAAATTTATATGATGAATTAATTTCTATAGAAGTTTCAAATTTCTATAAAACTGATAAACCTATATATTATATTCATTTCGCACCCAAAGAAAAATGTGATCACAGAGGTAGTTTCGATATTATGTTCTTGACAAGGTATGGGGCTGCTGCAAGTTATATTTTGCTAAGATATTACAGCTTTTGTAAGCTTAAGTAATGTAAGCAAGGTCAATTTTAAAGTTTTTGAATTTTGTCGAACACTGTTTAAGGTTAAGTTCCAGTCATTTGGTTTTCCTTCTTTTTGAGTGTGTGCGATGGTTATTTTTATGGTCGTAGCGCGATGCACTACTGGGTCGCGCGCGCATCAAATAATGCTTCTCGCAACCACGTATGCAGATCGGCGAGATGCGAAGGATTGACATCGTGAATAAATTTTTATGGATGATTTGAGGTGATTGGGCTTACAGGTGAATGTAGTTAGCATGAGATTTTGTCGTACTGTGTTCCAGATTGTCCCTGCTCTGTATATATCTAGCTGTCTGATGGTTTAGGTGTGAGAATGAGAATCTCTTTGCCAAGTCTGCCAGATGTTTCAAAGAGGGAATAAAGTGATATAGGGGTTCTATATTTCAAGACCTTGAAGATGTCATTAATACAGTGGTAGAAGTACAGATTATGCACATTCATGATTTTGTTACTGTTGAAGAGGGGTTTAGTATGTTCTTTTCTGTAGAATTCGTTGCCTACGTAGGGTCTGCATCGCGCACTAGTTTTGAATTTATCCAAGTATGCTTCTTTATCACCAAACATTATATGCGGGCACACATTTTCTATGCTTTGAACCGAGGTTCGAGCTTTTTGTTAGATGCTCCTCCCCAGACAGTTATACCATATGCGAGATTGATTGATTGAAATAAATTTTCGTGCACATACAGAATGAATGGTTAATAATTTAATATATATGTAGACCAAGGTCTGAGATAGCTTTCAAACAGATCTAGATTGTGATACAGATCTTTATGGAGTGATGTGGGAATGTTATCTTTAATTCTATTTAGCATGCCACAGCAGCTGGCTAGTTTTTTTGCTAATTTACCTCTATGTGCATTCCAGTTTAAGTCTTCATCGATTGTTACGCCTAAGAATTTAGTTTCATGTACTCTCTCCAAAGGTATGCCATTGATATTGATTTCTTGATCAGAGGGTGTATCTTCATCTTTGTTGGATCGAGAGTTTGAGAATTCAAGGTAATGGGGTGGTTTCAGTGGCGTAACGAAGGGCCCCGACGACCCCGCTGTGCGGGCGGGCACAATCTTAGGGGGCACCAAATTGTCGTTTGAATGTGGGACAATTTCGAAAAATTTAACTATGGTACGAGGAAAACTGCGCGTTTTGCTCTAGAAACACACATTTTTAGAGATTTTACCGGCGTAACCTCTAAAATCAACTAATATGTTCAATTTTAGGGAGGGGCGCCAAAAGGGGAGGGGCACCAACAGGGGGGCCCTTTTTCAGCGGGGGCGCCAACGCCCAACAGGCAACGTTACGCCACTGGGTGGTTTATCATGTGATAATCTGAGAAGGTACAAATCTCATTTTTTGAGGACAAACGTAATTCGAATGGCCAAAAACAATCCAATAAAATTTGGCTTGATCCGACTATTAAAACTATCAAATAAATGCGAAAATGAACCTTCATTTGAAAAAAATGAACACAAATATTTTTCGATTTGACAAATTCCTCGAACCAGTGGTGGTAGTAAGACATACCAGAAAGAATTATTTCAATTGGGCACTCAGTGACTGAGCTATTCAAGAAAACAACAATTTCAAGAAAACAACAATTTTATTTAGTATCAATTAAAGCAGACAAAAATATATTTCATATATATATATAACTAGCACGAACTTTAGATCAGATATCTTAGGGGACTTGGAGTAGCAAGAGATTGACTAAAAGGTATATAACTTTTACAAAGATACGTCGAGAAGAATCCAGGGTGATACAGGATCGGAGAGTGCAGACCAAAAGTTTACGCACCCACCTTTGCCTCCTGAGTTCTTGGTTGGGTAGAAATTTATGCAAACTTGGTCGTTTATACTCCAAGTCCCTTTCTTAAAAGAAGTAGTATTAACTATGTCTAGAGTTAGCTTCGTTCAATAATAACAATATCAATATAATCAATATCAATACCAGATAAACCTACCGAATAAATTATTAAATATCATTTAATTCATTCCGATAAAAAATTTTATAAATTTAGATATTTAACTTATCTAAAAACATTACAACAAATGTTTAAAAAGCGCCCAAAATCGATTTGAAAGATTTTCTGTCTATAGTACAATCATGATAGTAATAGTAAGTGTGTGCCGCTGCAATTAGATTTGATTACTGCAATTTAAAATTGTTTGGAGTCCAAGTATCTTTTAAGTCAGCTGCCTGTGCTTGTATTAATAGTGCTTTGGTTCTCAGTTTTATCAAGCTAATGGACGTTTCTAAGCAATTGCTTGAAGTTAAAATTTTTTTATGAACAGCGTTCCAAAGCTTGGCTGCATTAAACAAAAAGGTATTTGATTTATTTAGGAGAATAACCATTAGACTCGTTGCACGGTTTGAAATGTTGATAGCCTCATAAAGGGAGTATGGGCAGTGGTACTTGATAATCTTAGAGAATTCTAAAATACAGTGATATTTGTACAAGTTTTGAGCTGTAAGAATTTTTAATCTATTAAAAATGGGTTTTGTATGCTCCTTTTCAAAGTGTTTATGGTCTAGTTTTTGCATACCGTATGGTCTAGTACGTGCACATGTTGATTGTTTATCTAAATATGAGTCAAGGTCGCCAAAAAGGATCCTTATACAGTGCTTCTGTGTGATGAAAAGACTATCATTGGACCGTTCTTTGAGGACAACACCCCAAACACTTATACCATAACTGAGATGTGATTCAAAAAGAGCATTATATATTTTCAAATATAGTTCAGAAGGTATCGAGTGCCGAATTCTGCAGATTGCACCAGTCATAGATCGCAGTTTTTTACGGATGTAGTGCATGTGGGCAATCCAGTTTAGCTTACTATCTATAACAACACCTAAGAATTTGGTATCCTTGACTTTAGTAATAACCTTACCATTGATGAATATTGATCTAGATTCATCTAGCAGGATAGCAAATGGTCTGGTCCGTGCACAGGTGTCATCATATTCAGAGGCAGGTTTAAAATGTATGTAGCAGCATTTGGACATGTTGATATGAAGTAGATTACATTTCATGTAAATCGAGACATGTTTAAGTACTAAGTTGGCTTTTTTGTATGTTGCTTCTCTAGATGGTCCTGATATGAAGATATTAGTGTCATCAGCATAAAGTACAAATTTCACCTCACTGTCTGAAAAGCAGTTAACTATATCGTTCATATACAATAGGAAGAGTAACGGCCCCAGAATTGACCCTTGTGGTACTCCAAATTTCACGTCCATTGTTTCTGATGGTACATCGTTATACATAACATACTGCTTTCTGTTAGTCAAATAGCTTTTTAGTAAGGTAAGTGCTGTGCCCCTAATACCGTAGGAATTTAATTTGCATAAAAGAATATCGTGATCAAGGGTGTCGAAGGCTTTGCTCAAGTCAATGAATATCCCTAGGACATGTTTATTGCTTGCCAGAGACTTAGTAACGGAGTCTACAGATTTGTGTAGAGCATGGGTGGTAGAATGGCCTTTTCTAAATCCAAACTGTGAGTCTGTTAGTACTCACAGTATTAAGGCCAACGTTTGCACACTGACTTTTGGCCCACCCTGTATTATATCTATATTGTATATATACGCTATTAATTACTTTGGCATGTTCTGTAAATATTTGGTGAACATGAATATTGAATTATTTGCAATAAAACACAAAATATTTTACAAGGTTTGAATAAAATTACTGCAATCAATATACAGTGTTCCCCACGGATTTTTTAACTGTTTGCCATCATTTTTCCACCAGAGTGATGTTGACTTTTGAAACTACTCTATCAATCAAGTACATTCTGCGCGGTTTTATTCTTGGTCAAGTTTTGGCTCTTTGCAATACAGGAACTGGCGTGACGAGTCAACTTCTCACTGACAAGCTTAAGGTACTGAATATAGAGATTTCAATTTCTTGTTTTAGTTTATAAAAACTCTGCAGCCCCCCTCCGTGAGCCACTTTAAAAATTACATTATCTTCCACCGTTAGCATTTTCAAACACCATCCCCCTTTAGCTAGCTTGGCATATTGTGTGATTGAAAAACCCCTAAGAAGTTCCTTTTCAACTTTTTTGTCTGCTTAATGATATTGTATAATTTAACATTATGCTCATTGTCCATGCCATTCGAATAACATACTGTCTTTCAGGTTAACATTCCTACTGCCCAGTCTTTCTTGACTTATGGACTTGTAGCCTCTACATATGGCGTTTTCCATCTTTGGACGAATGGTTTGACTTATATTAAGTCAAAAGCTGGATTGTGGTGTTTTTTTTTGGCCGGGACAGACTTTGCTGCTACATTTGTTACTGTCAAAGCATATCAATACACATCTCTCGTTAGCGTTCAACTATTGGATTGTGTGTCAATTCCTACCATTATGATTCTATCCTGTGCCATTTTTAAGAGCAAATATCAATTGCTTCATTATGTTGCTGTGATCATTTGCTTGTCTGGTGTTGGAATAATGGTATTTGTTGATTCTCATGAAAAAGAATCTCTTATAGGAGACCTCATGGTGGTCTGTGCTGCAGTTTTGTATGGAATCAACAATGTTTGCTTGGAATGGCTTGCTAAAGATATAGGAACTTATGCTTACCTTGGCATTTACTGCTGGTACGGTCTGGTTATTTCTGGGATCCAGATGGCAATTCTTGAAAGAGAGGCCCTGTATTCTGCTCCTTGGCGTGATCCACATTTCTACTTCTGTCTTATCGGATTTTCTGTGTTCCTTTTCATCTTTTTGTCAATAATGCCTAGGATAATGGTACAATACAGTGCTACTGTGGCAAATTTAAACTTGCTTGCTGCTGATGTGTACTCAGCAGTAGCTGGTTACATGATATTTTCACTTGAATTTAGTCCCCTGTATGTAGGTTCAATAGTATTGATATTGGGTGGAGTCTTGCTGTACATTTACCAGTCACATGCCGCACAAAGCCAGACAATATCACCAGATGATGTCGAACAGTCCTCCTCACTCGTTGACGAAAATGTACCAGATGTAACTTTATGATATGGACATTTTCTTAGATTTCATATTGAGCTACAATTTTAGTTTCCTATAATTTATCACGAAGTTTTCTATATATAGTAATATATAGTAATTTAAATTTTTATTATACAACTAAAAGTTCACTCAACTATACGCCATTATGATATATGACTTATCTGATTTCTATGCACAGTTTAGTGGTTTGACCTGCCAGCTTAAACTTGCTCAACGTTAATCATCACATAAACATCATTTGCACTTTTTTAAATGTAATAAATTATTTTAGATAAAACATTACATAATATTATAAGTATGCTATGTATAGGGGATATGTATGTATTACACATCTTCAAGTTAAGTCCTTTTATAATGTTAACCAATCACATCTGACAAAGCTACCTTCCAGTTTAGGTTTTTATCGAGGCATTTTGAAATAAATTTTCGTGCACATACAGAATGAATGGTTAATAATTTAATATATATGTAGACCAAGCTCTGTGCACGGGATGCTTCCTGGAAGAATCCAGTTCTTTTAGCGGGGCACCCTACCTAAAGCCAAATTGAGATATAATAATCATATTCCTAGAGAAATAATCAGAAATCGAATACCAATCAAATAATATGATATATATGAGTAGTAACCATATTTACTATGCAAAATGCCCCAACCACATAGTGTAAATTTATATAGAATTCAAATTCCATATCATCATTAAACCTCAATACCTAGTCAATATAATAGCCCAAGCAAAATTAAATAACTTCTTATATACCTTACTGTCATACTACAAATTAATTAAACATTTGAAATCTGTTGACCAGAGAATAAATTTCTAAGCCTAATGCAAGTGAAATAATTTAGATGCAATAATGAATGCCTAATGTGAGTATCATTTGTCAATGTCCTTGTAAAAAAGTCTGTACAAGAGATATGAGTAACTAATATAGAAGAAAAAACAGGAAGTTGTCGTCTGTTGTAAAATAAATAAAATATCTAGAATATAAATTAGAATATAAAATAACATTCAGTCAATGTGTCGTCAATAAACTGTACAATTATCAAATGTTAAAACTGGGTGATACAGTCACCAAAAAAAAATACTAAGTATGATAAGTTAATAAATTAAATGTGGTCTATAAAACTACCACTAAGTATAATAGGTCAATAAATTAAAAGTGGTTTATAAAACTACCACTGTGGGAACCCCTTCTCCAGTTAAAACATGTCAGTCATGTGCAAAATCAATCAGAATGGTAAGGTGGTAAAAAGGGAATATCTTTTCGATACATCAATTATATATGCCTCAGATTTAAAAGAATTAGAAGTTACTTAGTTATCGGCGACTATGATTGCAGTGTAAAATTTGTCATATGAATTGTCGACGGTATAATTAGGGTCTGTTGTTATAGATGATAGTAGCTGTTTCTTATACGAATCACTAAAGCTTTTAACATCGGGCAGATTTCGTAGATCTGTTGGAACATTATTCCAACATTTTGCCCCCAAGTATTGAAAGTTTTTATGTGATGTTGATCTATTGACATAAAGGTTGCAGCTTTCGCCGCTCCTACTACCTCCTGATATGTAACTAAATTTGTTCATAAAGTTTGTAGGACAATTGTCATGGATGATTCTAAACATATAATTTGACAGATGGAGTTGTCGTCTAAGATAGAGTGGTAACCATTTCATGTCTCTATAAACATTAAGGCTGCTCTCTGTTTTTGGAACGTTGAGAGCTATTTTGGCTACCTTTTTGTACAGAGTGTCAAGTTCAGCAAGTTTTGTCTTGCCAGCTCTACAATAGATCGTGTCTAAATAATCGAATTGTGGCAACATGAGTGCATTGGCAAACATTTTCCTATATTTAATGGGTAGCAGTGCTTTACTTCTATACATGGCACCAATTCTCTTCATGACCTTCCTAATAATATAATCTACATGGCTTTTGAAGTTTAATTTACTATCTAGAATGAGGCCAAGATATTTTGTCTCTTTGCACTCCTTGATTGTGAAAGTTACCTCATTACAATCAATGGTTATTTCATCATGTTGGTCAACAGAATCAAACAATAGGAATTCAGTCTTCTTTTCATTGAGTGATAATTTATTAACACTGAGCCATTTAAAGATTGTCATAAGTTCTATTTTCATGTTTATAAATGTGCTTCTGCAGGTTTGATCAAAGAATAGTGCTCCATCATCTGCAAATAGAAAGGGCTTAGATAGGTTACAGGCATAAATGATGTCATTTATGAAGATACTAAATAATATAGGCCCAATGATGCTTCCTTGTGGTACACCACTCAGAACTTCTAAAAATGAGCTTAGATTGCCATTGATCCTAGTGCATTGATATCTACAAGATAAGAAGTTCTTAAACCAGGTTAAAGCAATGCCACCAATTCCATAATATGCCAATTTTTGAAGCAATATTTCATGATTCACTGTGTCAAAGGCCTTCTTAAGATCAAGAAAGATGATTCCTGGTTTATAAGACTTAGATTTACTCATATATATTTCGTCCATCAGATCGTACATCAGATAAGTTGTGGAGTGATTTTTCCGAAAGCCATATTGATGCCGGATGAAAAGTTTGTTCTCTTCCATGTAATCAGTGAGTTGCTTGCCGACAAAGTATTCTATAAGTTTTCCTACAAGTGGAAGGATGGATATTGGCCTGTAATTATTAGGATCATCTTTCATTCCTGCCTTATGGATGGGAGTTACTCTAGCTTTTTTACAAAGGGTTGGTACAACACCTGTATTAAGGCTCAGATTGACAATGTGGGTCAGTGGCTCAACTATGTGTGGTACAGCTTGCTTAAGTAAAAATAGAGGCACATTGTCATATGAGGCCTTGTCATTCTTGAGCGTTTCGACATACATTAGGATATCAGTTTCATTTCACGAGTGTTAATCATTGATGAAGTTCAAATTTTACATCGTGTTCTATTTCCTTTTCTTTTAAATTTTTGATTATGGATGATTTATTTAAATGTCTCCATAACGTTGGTTCACAGTTTGGTTTAGATTTAGTTCATGAATCTGAATGTGTTGTTTTATTTAATATGCAACATTTTAATTCTACAGTTTAACGCATATCATATATGTATGATGAATTATATTTGTGATGTTCAACTATAATTCATCACTAGGATTTTAAAATGTAGCCCAGTTATACACTTTGCTGTGTAAAGAACCGATGTAGCTATAATTGCAGTTTATGGGAAGAAAATATCCTGCTGGTGCAGATTACTCTCAATGTAAAGCAGTCTTCCTTAAGAATAAGGATCAAACTGATCATAAGAAGATTGAAATGTTGATCGAGGAAGGTTTGTTTAGAAGGAAATAGAGGTATTGTATAGTTTGCAGGAATACAAGGCATTGAAACAAAGGTACTATATATTTACGTCTTCAGTTTACAAATCAGTAAAACACAATCATACTATGCGGGGGGGACTACAGACCCCCTCAAAGTCCTTTACAACGTTACTGCCAGGTTACATAGCACTCAAATTATTTGTTATATAGTAGTGTTGAAAGTATTAAAACATATGATAACATGGACATTCTCAGCAAACTGTAGCTTGCTAGTATATATACACACAGTACACACTATCATATATTATGATATAATATACATGTATATATTATATTATAATATACATTATACTGTAATTATATATACGCGCAATATAATATACAATTTATCTTGTATTCAGAGATGCTAGGCTAATCTTTACACATTCTTTATGGTACATGTTGCATCATGTTTTCGCAATTAAGTAAAGTAGGTGAACGTGAGGTATTCTGTATTTCGGATTTCGATTTCTATGAATTGACGATTGTGTTCTGTCACACCGGGGTGTAGGATGTAACGATTGGAAGCAGTAATAAACTGTTAATAAGATAACATTTAAAAGAGGAAGATATCTAATGTCAGATTATTTGTATATATTATATTTATATATTATATCTATTGTGTTCAGAGGCTGGGATTTCCCCACCCAAACATATGTCATCACTATATTCAGGTTTCTTACATAGAATGATAATGGTGCTTACATCATCCTCTAGTTGTACTGTTAAACTTACATCCCATATCAATATTACTTCATCTCTGTATTACTTCATCTCAATGTCCGATTAAGGTGATCTGTTAAGAACACGTCATTCATTTTAAATCCTTTGCAGTTTACACTCTCATGTCAGTTGTATTAATAATATTGCAAGTAGTTTCATTGTAATTTGTTATTAAGCAATAATGTTAATTCGTAAGGTGAGCAAAAGAGTAAAAATGTTACTCAACGTGACATTTGGTCGCTACATGATAAACAGGGTTAGATTAAGTTATCGCGCGAGTTAAACACTGAAATGTGAGACTGTATTGGTGGTGACTCAGCACCAATATAATGTACAATCTCTCTCTCTCTCTCTCTGTACAGTGTACATGTACCTACTGAGATAGTGTCTGATCTAAGAGAAGAAGGAAGGGCAAAGGCTACTCGGATTACACCAGTCAACACTGTGTATTTCTCTAAACTTGTCGCTCCGCTATGTTTTGCGTAAACCGACTACACCCTTAAAAGTATGTCACCTTTTGAAGATTGATGATACCCGAAATGCACCATTTAAAAAAATAGGGATTCTTTAACTTTTATTTCTGTATTTATCTGCGCATGATTAATCATAACAAGCTGTAACATCTTCTAACTGTCACATCCTCAATAGCTGTAACATCTTCTAACTGTCACATTCTCAATAACTGTAACATCTTCTAACTGTCACATCCTCAATAGCTGTAACATCTTCTAACTGTCACATCCTCAATAGCTGTAACATCTTCTAACTGTCACATCCTCAATAGCTGTAACATCTTCTAACTGTCACATCCTCAATAACTGTAACATCTTCTAACTGTCACATCCTCAATAACTGTAACATCTTCTAACTGTCACATCCTCAATAGCTGTAACAAGATGCAGAATATCAAGTGTGTAGTGGTTGGTGACGGAGCGGTTGGTAAAACTTGTCTCCTCATCTCTTACACTTCCAACGCTTTCCCCGGCGAGTATGTACCTACTGTATTCGATAACTACAGCACCAACGTCATGATCAACGGCAGACCTATTAACCTGGGGCTCTGGGATACCGCTGGACAGGTAGGCCTACTTTATAATCCTTGAGATAACAACCTACACACAATTATATCTTACATTAGTTAGTCAGACCTTGTAAACGCTTCATTACAGTAACTCACTGCCTCTTAATGGTCTATGTTAATTGTTATCTTAGTCTAAAATTACTACACGGGACTCTAGAGTCTAGAGTAGTGGGACTATGAAAAACTTCCATTCTGAGAGGGACAATTTGTACAAAAATTGTAAAACGGAGTGCATTTGATTTTAAATTATGTTAAAATTAAATTATTGTTATTATGACTATTGACTAGTCCCTTAGGTTGACCACTTTTAATATTAAGTTGAGTAACAAAAATATTAAGTTGAGTAACAACAATATTAAGTTGAGTAACAACCGTAAGTTTTACATTTGATGAAAGAGAATTAGGATTCCTCTAACCCATTAATCTATAGTTATGTAAGAAAGTTGGCATCACATATCATTATAATACCTAGTGTAGTAGTATAATAAGTAATTAACTCTACCCAGACTTAAGGAAACATTACTCTGTAACTACCTACTTATTCTGTAATTATCTTTTATATTAACCCAGACTCTGAATCTGTAACTACCTACCTACTAATCGCAGGAAGATTACGACAGGTTACGACCTCTATCCTACCCCCAAACAGATGTGTTTCTGGTATGTTTCTCAATCGTGAACCCTCATTCCTACGGCAATGTCAGAGTTAAATGGCATCCTGAGGTTAGTCTCTGTTGTCGCGAGTCACGTGACTCCTGTATTCGAAATTACACATCTATGTAATGTCTCCTCAGTCGACCTAGCCGAGTGATCGGAAAAGTTGATTGAGGGTTATGCCAAAATATAAGAATCTTCTTGTGTAGTAAAGTGTAGTAGTGTAGTAGTGTAGTAGTGTAGTAGTAGTGTAGTAGTGTAGTAGTGTAGTAACTAGTAGTGTAGTAGTGTAGTAGTGTAGTAGTGTAGTAGTAACTAGTAGTAACTAGTAGTGTAGTAGTGTAGTAGCGTAGTAGTGTAGTAGTGTAGTAGTGTAGTAGTGTAGTAGCGTAGTAGTGTAGTAGTGTAGTGGTGTAGTAGTGTAGTAGTGTAGTAGTGTAGTAGTGTAGTAGTGTAGTAGTGTAGTAGTGTAGTAGTGTAGTAGTGTAGTAGTAGTAGTAGTGTAGTAGTAGTGTAGTAGTAGTGTAGTAGTAGTGTAGTAGTAGTGTAGTAGTAGTGTAGTAGTAGTGTAGTAGTAGTGTAGTAGTAGTGTAGTAGTGTAGTAGTGTAGTAGTGTAGTAGTGTAGTAGTGTAGTAGTGTAGTGGTGTAGTAGTGTAGTAGTGTAGTAGTGTAGTAGTGTAGTAGTGTAGTAGTGTAGTAGTGTAGTAGTGTAGTAGTGTAGTAGTGTAGTAGTGTAGTAGTGTAGTAGTGTAGTAGTGTAGTAGTGTAGTAGTGTAGTAGTGTAGTAGTGTAGTAGTGTAGTAGTGTAGTAGTGTAGTAGTGTGCTAATAGTTAGTCTGTCAGATAAACATCCTCTAGTTGCCACTGTTAAACTTTACACCGTCATTTTTACGTTCTTCCAACTATTTTTACTGATTTGGTGCGCAACTCTATAGAAATTGTGAAAACTTGCTATAATGATAACTAGAATGTAATGATCTAAGCGTGATGACTTGTAGTAGCATATAGCGCCCACTCCCCAGGTACGACACCACTGTCCGAGCACCCCCATTGTGCTGGTGGGAACCAAGCTAGATCTCCGAGACGACAAGAACACTCTGGACAAACTGAAACAGAGCAAACAAAGTCCAGTCACCCAGGCTCAGGGCTTCTCGCTGGAGGTGAGTTGAACATCAGTTACATTTTTAGTTTAGTACAGCATAAAGTAACCATACCATAAAAATCTGATGTAGTGATGGGTGTCCACCCACAATCTGATGTAGTGATGGGTGTCCACCCACAATCTGATGTAGTGATGGGTGTCCACCCACAATCTGATGTAGTGATGGGTGTCCACCCACAATCTCATGTAGTGATGGGTGTCCACCCACAATCTCATGTAGTGATGGGTGTCCACCCACAATCTCATGTAGTGATGGGTGTCCACCCACAATCTCATGTAGTGATGGGTGTCCACCCACAATCTCATGTAGTGATGGGTGTCCACCCACAATCTCATGTAGTGATGGGTGTCCACCCACAATCTCATGTAGTGATGGGTGTCCACCCACAATCTCATGTAGTGATGGGTGTCCACCCACAATCTCATGTAGTGATGGGTGTCCACCCACAATCTCATGTAGTGATGGGTGTCCACCCACAATCTCATGTAGTGATGGGTGTCCACCCACAATCTCATGTAGTGATGGGTGTCCACCCACAATCTCATGTAGTGATGGGTGTCCACCCACAATCTCATGTAGTGATGGGTGTCCACCCACAATCTCATGTAGTGATGGGTGTCCACCCACAATCTCATGTAGTGATGGGTGTCCACCCACAATCTCATGTAGTGATGGGTGTCCACCCACAATCTCATGTAGTGATGGGTGTCCACCCACAATCTCATGTAGTGATGGGTGTCCACCCACAATCTCATGTAGTGATGGGTGTCCACCCACAATCTCATGTAGTGATGGGTGTCCACCCACAATCTCATGTAGTGATGGGTGTCCACCCACAATCTCATGTAGTGATGGGTGTCCACCCGCAATCTCATGTAGTGATGGGTGTCCACCCGCAATCTCATGTAGTGATGGGTGTCCACCCACAATCTCATGTAGTGATGGGTGTCCACCCACAATCTCATGTAGTGATGGGTGTCCACCCACAATCTCATGTAGTGATGGGTGTCCACCCACAATCTCATGTAGTGATGGGTGTCCACCCGCAATCTCATGTAGTGATGGGTGTCCACCCGCAATCTCATGTAGTGATGGGTGTCCACCCACAATCTCATGTAGTGATGGGTGTCCACCCGCAATCTCATGTAGTGATGGGTGTCCACCCGCAATCTCATGTAGTGATGGGTGTCCACCCGCAATCTCATGTAGTGATGGGTGTCCACCCGCAATCTCATGTAGTGATGGGTGTCCACCCACAATCTCATGTAGTGATGGGTGTCCACCCACAATCTCATGTAGTGATGGGTGTCCACCCACAATCTCATGTAGTGATGGGTGTCCACCCACAATCTCATGTAGTGATGGGTGTCCACCCACAATCTCATGTAGTGATGGGTGTCCACCCACAATCTCATGTAGTGATGGGTGTCCACCCACAATCTCATGTAGTGATGGGTGTCCACCCGCAATCTCATGTAGTGATGGGTGTCCACCCACAATCTCATGTAGTGATGGGTGTCCACCCACAATCTCATGTAGTGATGGGTGTCCACCCACAATCTCATGTAGTGATGGGTGTCCACCCGCAATCTCATGTAGTGATGGGTGTCCACCCGCAATCTCATGTAGTGATGGGTGTCCACCCGCAATCTCATGTAGTGATGGGTGTCCACCCACAATCTCATGTAGTGATGGGTGTCCACCCACAATCTCATGTAGTGATGGGTGTCCACCCACAATCTCATGTAGTGATGGGTGTCCACCCGCAATCTCATGTAGTGATGGGTGTCCACCCACAATCTCATGTAGTGATGGGTGTCCACCCGCAATCTCATGTAGTGATGGGTGTCCACCCACAATCTCATGTAGTGATGGGTGTCCACCCACAATCTCATGTAGTGATGGGTGTCCACCCACTATCTCATGTAGTGATGGGTGTCCACCCACTATCTCATGTAGTGATGGGTGTCCACCCACAATCTTCAAATAGTCCCACCAAAATAATCTTCTTTTCTTTTGTCGAGTGTCGTAAAAAGCATCATGTGAAAATGTAAGCTGTGTAAACTGTGTAAACTGTAGTTTACAACCTGCTTATTATGACTGCTGCCCATTTGTTTAACTTTATCTTCCTCATGTAGGGTTATTTTCTTAGCCACTAATTTATTTCAGAAAGAAATAGGTTCAGTGAAGTACGTGGAGTGCAGTGCTCTGACTCAGAAAGGATTGAAGCAAGTGTTCGACGAGGCGATAAAAGCAGTTTTGGAGCCCAAGAAGAAGAAAGATAAGAAGCAGCCTTGTCTACTGTTGTAATGTACAGATACAGTAGCTTGTGTGTCGAATATTGGACCTTGCAAGACACACACAAACCCACCCGTACGCAAAGCTTTGCGTACCGCGCACGCAAGCCCGTGCTGCGCGCACGCGAGCCTCTGCTGCGCCGTCATTTCCCTAGTATTACAATGAACTAATGACATTATTAAAATCTGCACAAATTGTCTGAGTGAGAAAATGTTTGCTCAGTTTTACTGTACAAACCCCCCTCCAGGTGTACAAACAATGTCCGCTTATTTCTCGGAGTATTTTGGTTGAAAAGTGTGTTTTAACGTATAGCTGTGCGTCCTAACAATCAACTAGATATTATATTTGATATATTGTGTAGCTTTCTTATTCCATCATAGTTCATCTTTGTGGTAAATTAAAACTAAATTCTTTACCTTCCATTGACGATGACATTTTCAGTTTGTTTTTTTGGAAGATTTTTAAAATTAAAATGTCCCTTAGGCTTAGCATTAAACTATTTTGATAAAGATCACCACAGAATGTGTTTCGAAGCGATTGTATTTTTGTACTAGTTCTGTATTTTCAACTGTGTGATAACAAGTTGCACAAAATGGTTTTAACCGCTTGATAAAAGTTCGATATTAATGTAAGTTTTTTGTCTTACAAATTTTACATTTTAAGACTAGGTTTCTGATATTGATAGAATATTTGACTCTTTCAATACATGCCTGTCACTTATAATCGGATACACTGAAGTAACTTTCTTAGATTGATGATTTCATACAGTGTGTTTCTGTTGACGAGGCACGTGCAATTTGTAATTTTTGTTATATATGATTTTTACCGATTTAAATTTTTATGTTTAACTTACAATCATTATTAATTGTTCTAGTGCTGATCCAATATATACGTATCGTTTTTAGGAGATGTTTCCACTTTTTGTACGGGCCAAGCTTAGTGTTGTTTACACTGTTTGTAAAAGCCGGGTTAAAAGTTAATGTTAAATATAAGACCACAGTGTGAGCGTGCATATAGTGACGTCATTATAATGACGTCATTATACTTTGTTGCGTAATATTCTTCTTCTGATCCTACACTCACATTAGTTTACCAACTATTTACACTTCAGTTCATTATTTTACCTTTAAAGTAACATGAACACACTATTACCTTTTGAGTATGTTCGCAGTTGGTGAGTTGGACTGAATCGCCGTAATCTAGTAAAATGAATTCCGGGAATTGTTGAGCCTTGAAAGGCAATTCGATAATTATAATTGGTAATTTGATGTTTTGAAATCCTTCTAATTTCTACGGTTTTATTGTTAAAAAAAAAGGAAGAACTTAATAACTACATACGTAGCTCATGTTAGATTCTGAATTGTTAACGCAATTATCTAACTCGTGGACAGAAATAAAATTACAAATATATGTGCACATTTCAGTTTATGTCACAGTTTACTCTACAGTCAAACCTCTCTATACCGGGCCTCTCGGGGATAACGAAAGTGTAACATGGTTCCCAATCCCCAGTATCTGTAGCTTCTCAAATTGCGTTTCAAGCGTCTTATATAATTATATACCACCTGCCTTTCATGCACTTAAAAATGGAAAATTGTTTGGAAAATTTGCCAAATATCGCCGGTGGCACATTTGCAATCTGAGAGAATTAGTCGCGTCAAAGTGATAAATATACATTATAATATGTACTACTTATGCTAGTATAATGATATACTATTATACTTGTGTGGCTTCCTGTGTACCTATCTGAACAACTCGCCCTACTTTACTCAGTCACCATGTGAATTCCTTTTTAACTAGTGCTAGCAGTATTTTGTTACAGAACATCAGCTCTGTAAGAAGTGTAGAGGAATGTGCGTGTGCGTGTGTACTGTACTGGGTGTGTTGCCTCCCCCCACACAGTCTGTGTATTGTACTACTTCACTCCACTCACCACCTAACATAACGGCTCAGATTACTCAGAGATAAGAGAGCTTCTCCCGTGCCGAGAGAGCTACATTGTCTGTTATCACCAACCATCATGTCATTAGGTCCTGGTATTAGGTCCCCGTATTAGGTCCTAGTATTAGGTCCTAGTATTAGGTCCTGGTATTAGGTCCTGGTATTAGGTCCTAGTATTAGGTCCTGGTATTAGGTCCCCGTATTAGGTCCTAGTATTAGGTCCTAGTATTAGGTCCTAGTATTAGGTCCTAGTATTAGGTCCTAGTATTAGGTCCTAGTATTAGGTCCTGGTATTAGGTCCCAGTATTAGGTCCCCGTATTAGGTCCTAGTATTAGGTCCCCGTATTAGGTCCTAGTATTAGGTCCTAGTATTACTATTAGGTCCTAGTATTAGGTCCTAGTATTAGGTCCTAGTATTAGGTCCCCGTATTAGGTCCTAGTATTAGGTCCCCGTATTAGGTCCTAGTATTAGGTCCTAGTATTAGGTCCCCGTATTAGGTCCTCGTATTAGGTCCTAGTATTAGGTCCTCGTATTAGGTCCTCGTATTAGGTCCTCGTATTAGGTCCCCGTATTAGGTCCTGGTATTAGGTCCTAGTATTAGGTCCTAGTATTAGGTCCCCGTATTAGGTCCTAGTATTAGGTCCTAGTATTAGGTCCTCGTATTAGGTCCTCGTATTAGGTCCTAGTATTAGGTCCTCGTATTAGGTCCTAGTATTAGGTCCTAGTATTAGGTCCTCGTATTAGGTCCTCGTATTAGGTCCTAGTATTAGGTCCTCGTATTAGGTCCTAGTATTAGGTCCCCGTATTAGGTCCTCGTATTAGGTCCTCGTATTAAGTCCCCGTATTAGGTCCTAGTATTAGGTCCTCGTATTAGGTCCCCGTATTAGGTCCCCGTATTAGGTCCCCGTATTAGGTCCTAGTATTAGGTCCCCGTATTAGGTCCCCGTATTAGGTCCCCGTATTAGGTCCTGGTATTAGGTCCCCGTATTAGGTCCTAGTATTAGGTCCTAGTATTAGGTCCCCGTATTAGGTCCTGGTATTAGGTCCCCGTATTAGGTCCCCGTATTAGGTCCCCGTATTAGGTCCCCGTATTAGGTCCTTGTATTAGGTCCCCGTATTAGGTCCTAGTATTAGGTCCCCGTATTAGGTCCTTGTATTAGGTCCCCGTATTATGTCCTAGTATTAGGTCCTCGTATTAGGTCCCCGTATTAGGTCCTAGTATTAGGTCCTAGTATTAGGTCCCCGTATTAGGTCCTTGTATTAGGTCCCCGTATTAGGTCCCCGTATTAGGTCCTAGTATTAGGTCCCCGTATTAGGTCCTAGTATTAGGTCCTAGTATTACTATTAGGTCCTAGTATTAGGTCCTAGTATTAGGTCCTAGTATTAGGTCCCCGTATTAGGTCCTAGTATTAGGTCCCCGTATTAGGTCCTAGTATTAGGTCCTAGTATTAGGTCCCCGTATTAGGTCCTCGTATTAGGTCCTAGTATTAGGTCCTCGTATTAGGTCCTCGTATTAGGTCCTCGTATTAGGTCCCCGTATTAGGTCCTGGTATTAGGTCCTAGTATTAGGTCCTCGTATTAAGTCCCCGTATTAGGTCCTAGTATTAGGTCCTCGTATTAGGTCCCCGTATTAGGTCCCCGTATTAGGTCCCCGTATTAGGTCCTAGTATTAGGTCCCCGTATTAGGTCCCCGTATTAGGTCCCCGTATTAGGTCCTGGTATTAGGTCCCCGTATTAGGTCCTAGTATTAGGTCCTAGTATTAGGTCCCCGTATTAGGTCCTGGTATTAGGTCCCCGTATTAGGTCCCCGTATTAGGTCCCCGTATTAGGTCCCCGTATTAGGTCCTTGTATTAGGTCCCCGTATTAGGTCCTAGTATTAGGTCCCCGTATTAGGTCCTTGTATTAGGTCCCCGTATTATGTCCTAGTATTAGGTCCTCGTATTAGGTCCCCGTATTAGGTCCTAGTATTAGGTCCTAGTATTAGGTCCCCGTATTAGGTCCTTGTATTAGGTCCCCGTATTAGGTCCCCGTATTAGGTCCTAGTATTAGGTCCTCGTATTAGGTCCCCGTATTAGGTCCCCGTATTAGGTCCTTGTATTAGGTCCCCGTATTAGGTCCCCGTATTAGGTCCCCGTATTAGGTCCTTGTATTAGGTCCCCGTATTAGGTCCTAGTATTAGGTCCCCGTATTGTTACACTATGATGATGAGTTTGGGGTACTCGTCTCCTAATTTGAGTAAGATAAGAACCTCCGTATTACAAGTGATAAGACCCTCTGTATTACGAGTGATAAGACCCTCTGTACTGTATTACGAGTGATAAGACCCTCTGTACTGTATTACGAGTGATAAGACCCTCTGTACTGTATTACGAGTGATAAGACCCCCCTCTGTACTGTATTAGGAGTGATAAGACCCTCTGTACTGTATTACGGGTGATAAGACCCTCTGTACTGTATTACGAGTGATAAGACCCTCTGTATTACGAGTGATAAGACCCTCTGTACTGTATTACGGGTGATAAGACCGTCTGTACTGTATTACGAGTGATAAGACCCTCTGTACTATATTACGAGTGAAAAGACCCTCTGTACTGTATTACGAGTGATAAGACCCCCCTCTGTACTGTATTACGAGTGATAAGACCCTCTGTACTGTATTACGAGTGATAAGACCCTCTGTACTGTATTACGAGTGATAAGACCCTCTGTACTGTATTAGGAGTGATAAGAACCTCTGTACTGTATTACGAGTGATAAGACCCCCCTCTGTACTGTATTACGAGTGATAAGACCCCCCTCTGTACTGTATTACGAGTGATAAGACCCCCCTCTGTACTGTATTACGAATGATAAGACCCTCTGTACTGTATTACGAGTGATAAGACCCCCCTCTGTACTGTATTACGAGTGATAAGACCCCCCTCTGTACTGTATTACGAGTGATAAGACCCCCCTCTGTACTGTATTACGAGTGATAAGACCCCCCTCTGTACTGTATTACGAGTGATAAGACCCCCCTCTGTACTGTATTACGAGTGATAAGACCCCCTCTGTACTGTATTACGAGTGATAAGACCCCCCTCTGTACTGTATTACGAGTGATAAGACCCCCCTCTGTACTGTATTACGAATGATAAGACCTTCTGTACTGTATTACGAGTGATAAGACCCCCCTCTGTACTGTATTACGAGTGATAAGACCCCCCTTTGTACTGTATTACGAGTGATAAGACCCCCCTCTGTACTGTATTACGAGTGATAAGACCCCCCTCTGTACTGTATTACGAGTGATAAGACCCCCCTCTGTACTGTATTACGAGTGATAAGACCCCCCTCTGTACTGTATTACGAGTGATAAGACCCCCTCTGTACTGTATTACGAGTGATAATACCCCCCTCTGTACTGTATTACGAGTGATAAGACCCCCCTCTGTACTGTATTACGAGTGAAAAGACCCTCTGTACTGTATTACGAGTGATAAGACCCCCCTCTGTACTGTATTACGAGTGATAAGACCCTCTGTACTGTATTACGAGTGATAAGACCCTCTGTACTGTATTACGAGTGATAAGACCCTCTGTACTGTATTAGGAGTGATAAGAACCTCTGTACTGTATTACGAGTGATAAGACCCCCCTCTGTACTGTATTACGAGTGATAAGACCCCCCTCTGTACTGTATTACGAGTGATAAGACCCCCCTCTGTACTGTATTACGAATGATAAGACCCTCTGTACTGTATTACGAGTGATAAGACCCCCCTCTGTACTGTATTACGAGTGATAAGACCCCCCTCTGTACTGTATTACGAGTGATAAGACCCCCTCTGTACTGTATTACGAGTGATAAGACCCCCCTCTGTACTGTATTACGAGTGATACGACCCCCCTCTGTACTGTATTACGAGTGATAAGACCCCCCTCTGTACTGTATTACGAATGATAAGACCTTCTGTACTGTATTACGAGTGATAAGACCCCCCTCTGTACTGTATTACGAGTGATAAGACCCCCCTCTGTACTGTATTACGAGTGATAAGACCCCCCTCTGTACTGTATTACGAGTGATAAGACCCCCTCTGTACTGTATTACGAGTGATAAGACCCCCTCTGTACTGTATTACGAGTGATAAGACCCCCCTCTGTACTGTATTACGAGTGATAAGACCCCCCTCTGTACTGTATTACGAGTGATAAGACCCCCCTCTGTACTGTATTACGAGTGATAAGACCCCCTCTGTACTGTATTACGAGTGATAAGACCCCCCTCTGTACTGTATTACGAGTGATAAGACCCCCCTCTGTACTGTATTACGAATGATAAGACCTTCTGTACTGTATTACGAGTGATAAGACCCCCCTCTGTACTGTATTACGAGTGATAAGACCCCCCTTTGTACTGTATTACGAGTGATAAGACCCCCCTCTGTACTGTATTACGAGTGATAAGACCCCCCTCTGTACTGTATTACGAGTGATAAGACCCCCCTCTGTACTGTATTACGAGTGATAAGACCCCCCTCTGTACTGTATTACGAGTGATAAGACCCCCTCTGTACTGTATTACGAGTGATAATACCCCCCTCTGTACTGTATTACGAGTGATAAGACCCCCCTCTGTACTGTATTACGAGTGAAAAGACCCTCTGTACTGTATTACGAGTGATAAGACCCCCCTCTGTACTGTATTACGAGTGATAAGACCCTCTGTACTGTATTACGAGTGATAAGACCCTCTGTACTGTATTACGAGTGATAAGACCCTCTGTACTGTATTAGGAGTGATAAGAACCTCTGTACTGTATTACGAGTGATAAGACCCCCCTCTGTACTGTATTACGAGTGATAAGACCCCCCTCTGTACTGTATTACGAGTGATAAGACCCCCCTCTGTACTGTATTACGAATGATAAGACCCTCTGTACTGTATTACGAGTGATAAGACCCCCCTCTGTACTGTATTACGAGTGATAAGACCCCCCCCTGTACTGTATTACGAGTGATAAGACCCCCCTCTGTACTGTATTACGAGTGATAAGACCCCCCTCTGTACTGTATTACGAGTGATAAGACCCCCCTCTGTACTGTATTACGAGTGATAAGACCCCCCTCTGTACTGTATTACGAATGATAAGACCTTCTGTACTGTATTACGAGTGATAAGACCCCCTTCTGTACTGTATTACGAGTGATAAGACCCCCCTCTGTACTGTATTACGAGTGATAAGACCCCCCTCTGTACTGTATTACGAGTGATAAGACCCCCCTCTGTACTGTATTACGAGTGATAAGACCCCCTCTGTACTGTATTACGAGTGATAAGACCCCCCTCTGTACTGTATTACGAGTGATAAGACCCCCCTCTGTACTGTATTACGAATGATAAGACCTTCTGTACTGTATTACGAGTGATAAGACCCCCCTCTGTACTGTATTACGAGTGATAAGACCCCCCTCTGTACTGTATTACGAGTGATAAGACCCCCCTCTGTACTGTATTACGAGTGATAAGACCCCCCTCTGTACTGTATTACGAGTGATAAGACCACCCTCTGTACTGTATTACGAGTGATAAGACCCCCCTCTGTACTGTATTACGAGTGATAAGTCCCCCCTCTGTACTGTATTACGAGTGATAAGACCCCCCTCTGTACTGTATTACGAGTGATAAGACCCCCCTCTGTACTGTATTATGAGTGATAATACCCCCCTCTGTACTGTATTACGAGTGATAAGACCCCCCTCTGTACTGTATTACGAGTGATAAGACCCCCCTCTGTACTGTATTACGAGTGATAAGACCCCCTCTGTACTGTATTACGAGTGATAAGACCCCCCTCTGTACTGTATTACGAGTGATAAGACCCCCCTCTGTACTGTATTACGAGTGATAAGACCCCCCTCTGTACTGTATTACGAGTGATAAGACCCCCCTCTGTACTGTATTACGAGTGATAAGACCCCCCTCTGTACTGTATTACGAGTGATAAGACCCCCCTCTGTACTGTATTACGAGTGATAAGACCCCCCTCTGTACTGTATTACGAGTGATAAGACCCCCCTCTGTACTGTATTACGAGTGATAAGACCCCCCCCTCTGTACTGTATTACGAGTGATAAGACCCCCCTCTGTACTGTATTACGAGTGATAATACCCCCCTCTGTACTGTATTACGAGTGATAAGACCCCCCTCTGTACTGTATTACGAGTGATAAGACCCCCCCCTCTGTACTGTATTACAAGTGATAAGAACTTATTGCTGGGCGTGTACTAGTAGATTGAGGTCATATCTAACAAAAGATGTAGTGATGGAGCAATACAAATACTTCATGATGACACAGTATATAATACTTCATGATGACACATTATATAATACTGTTGACAACTTATTAACACCCCAATTCTTAACAACCTCTCCTGTAAACTCTGCTGTATTTTATTGGTGTTGCAAATGTACTTTTAACACATTCTACATAAATAATGTGTGAGGTGTTTAGAGAAACAAGTAAATGAATTAAATACATGTTGCTGGGATGGAAATATGTGCTCTGTAAGTTATACTATTATCATTTAATTATTAGGTATTCACTCATAAATTGATAGATAAATTAACGGATAAATAAAACTGCAATTGTATACAACTAACCAGTTAGTTACTACTAATTAACGTACCTTGCCAGGCACCATGTCTAACCCATGTAGTAGTGTATACTTATACTCCCTACTAATTAACGTACCTTGCCAGGCACCATGTCTAACCCATGTAGTAGTGTATACTTATACTCCCTACTAATTAACGTACCTTGCCAGGCACCATGTCTAACCCATGTAGTAGTGTATACTTATACTCCCTACTAATTAACGTACCTTGCCAGGCACCATGTCTAACCCATGTAGTAGTGTATACTTATACTCCCTACTAATTAACGTACCTTGCCAGGCACCATGTCTAACCCATGTAGTAGTGTATACTTATACTCCCTACTAATTAACGTACCTTGCCAGGCACCATGTCTAACCCATGTAGTAGTGTATACTTATACTCCCTACTAATTAACGTACCTTGCCAGGCACCATGTCTAACCCATGTAGTAGTGTATACTTATACTCCCTACTAATTAACGTACCTTGCCAGGCACCATGTCTAACCCATGTAGTAGTGTATACTTATACTCCCTACTAATTAACGTACCTTGCCAGGCACCATGTCTAACCCATGTAGTAGTGTATACTTATACTCCCTACTAATTAACGTACCTTGCCAGGCACCATGTCTAACCCATGGACCACTGACACTCCAGAAGGAAGCCTACTCTCCATCTTAAGAAGCCAGAGTTGTCATGGTAACATAACGGAGGAGGACATCTCTGACAATCCCTCCCTCAAGATAATATCAGCCCTGAAAGAGATCTCATATCTAACAGAAGCAATCCACTCCACAGAACTAGAGGTCCTGCACAGGAACCTGTACAAGACCAACGCGGCACTGCTAAGTGTGGGGAGTATGGGGGAGATAGAGAGTAGTGCGGAGGAGGTGTGTGAGTGTCTAACTCTAATACTGGATAACAGAGACACTCTAGTAGACAGACTCAAGTGTCCGCTAGAGGAAGGAAGGCTGGTTATAGAGGCCCGCTACCAGAAATACGCTGTAAAAACGTTTGAGCAGCTGGGTAGAGTACTGTCCCAGCTGACAGTGTACATTAGTAATGTGGAGAAGTATAAGAGTAGTCGTCTAGACGCCAGTAATATAGACCAGTCAGCCGGACAGATTGTGGAACTTTGTAACGCGCTCACAACTCTGTACGATAACTTCAGATCAGAGTATGAGAACTTGTTATCAATGAAAGAGTCCACTTGTATTCCCTCTACTTTGATAATATGATGATAATAATTAATAATAATCTATCTTACTATTTCGCATATCAATTGCAGTTATTACATGATATTTTAACAGATTTGGTAAGCTCGATGATATAAGATCAATCATACCCGAATGCTTGTTGGAGCAGTCTGATGGAAATATGCGAAGTTCTTTAGTATTAATAGCATGGTCCGAGAGTTTATACATTTTTATGTCTAATATGTAATTGGAACTGTAAAATATATATTATGATGCGAATATGAATGAATTCGATTTAGCGTTTCTGAATAACTATAATAATAATGTACGTTTACTACATTTTATTACCATCCGAAGGTGAAATATTCTAAATTCGTTGTCTCACTGTGATGATGGTACTGTTACCAGTGCGTGTATTAGATATGCTGCATTCCATCTCCATAGTTTTGAAACGGCAGAATACGTATGACGATCCTAATTACGATTTATCCTAATTCTATAACATTATCTTCAATCCATAAAAGCGTAAAGGAAGGCTAAGTAAAGGAAGTCAATAAATAAAACAAATTTCCGCTGTAATACACCCGTTAAAACTGCATATATTATATATTATATACCGCACATTTCAGACTGGGCACATGGCCATGGTAAGGAGTGAAGGTGCAGTTTGCTGCGCGCACTATGTGGAGCGTAAGAAGCGCCGCTGTAAGATGACGCCCCTGAAGAACAGCACCTACTGTGCAGGACACGCCTCACTCTACACTGAGGAACTGTCAGATAGGGTGCCCTGTCCCCTGGATCCCGCACACTTCATCAGCGCTGCTAAGCTACAACAGCATGTTAAAGTGTGCAATGCCCTTAAGTTCGACTACACTTCAGAACCTTACTTTAAAGCTAACGTTAACCTACCCCCTCCGCACGCAATCCAGGATTTAAGGAGAGAGCCCTTATCTAAACTTTCTATACAGCAACTAATTGGAACGTGTTTGAAGCTTCTTGAGTACGGAGTGGAGAGTAAAGTGTGTAAGACAGAAACTACGGAAACTGTTACTGATCTAGAGCAATACAGACCCTTGTTCCAGATAGGGACTAATGCGGGCAACTCAGCGGTCAGGCATGCTACTCAACAAGTAGCCTTGTTGAACGCTCTCTCTAACTTTCAAGTGCACAATGGTGCTGACACTAAGTTTCCTGACACGTGTTTTGTAGAGCTGGGAGCCGGGTCTGGTAAACTTAGTCAGTGGTTTCACTACAAAGCTAATCATTGCTTCTTTCTTCTTGTGGATAAACAGACTTGTCGCAGAAAGGCCGACAGTTACTTCAGAAAACAGAAGTGTAATTTTATTCGACTAAAAATGGACATAAAAGACATAGATGTGAGCGGAGTACCAGGACTGGGAGATTACAAGAGAGTCTGCTTCGCTTGTAAGCACTTGTGTGGTGGTGCAACAGACCTAGCACTTGTTGCCGCGGCGCAGTCAGGTCAGCACACCGAGACTACCGTTCTCATAGCCCTGTGTTGCCATCATCTGTGTTCCTGGGACTCATACTCGGGGAAGGACTACTTCATTACACATTTCAAACCTGAGGAATTCTACACGCTGTCCTCGCTTTCAGCTTGGGCTACCTGCTTCAAACTCGAAACGTTGCAGGTAGATAATCAAAAGGTTCTGAACGAACTGATAGAATCATTCCAGAAACACCCTGAATCTAACATTATACAAGAACATCTGGTTTTGGATAGGACCTTGCAATGGCACATCGGTAGATGTGCTAAGAATGCTTTAAACGACGGAAGAGCTCAATTTATGTTAAACAGTGGATTCAGAGTGCAGTTTTCTAAATATGTTAACATTGATATATCTCCTGAAAATACTGCGCTCTTGTGTTTCAAGGACGTCGCTTCTTAAACAATTAATCCTGGTGCTACAATACGATACGTTTTATTGTCATTCAATGACGGAAGTGATAGTTTTCGACTCAAATTTCAGTTACATACCGTACCCTTAGAACGGAAGTAAAATTATAAGTACTATCAATGGAACGCGCGAGTACAAATTGATTATGCGGACAGTGACTTTAAGGTGTTCAGTGAGCTAAGATTCTCGCGTCACGTGCGCGGCTTCCCTACTTCTGGATCAGCTGGCAAATTTCGTGTAACGGGAGTGGGGACGAAAGTTTCGTATTATTATTATTAGGTAAGGGGTCGTTCACTGTTCACATATTACGTAATCAGCCGAGGGGGGGTTTCCAAATGCTGAGGGGTAGTTCATATATAATTTATATACCCCCTTCTTTTTGAAATGAGGGGGGGGGGGGGCATGAATGGAGAAGATTGGGCGACATCTCAGATGTCGCCCAGATGTCATCTGTCCGACTTAAAAAATAGGTTATTTGGACAATAGTTTATGTCGGATTCTACCGTACGATTTTCTTAAAACTTTCCATAAAGTATGGTGGTTATAGGACAAATAATCTGTGTAAGTTTGAGCGAGTTTCTATGTGCCAAGTTTTTAAGATATTACCTTAAACACAAAAAATATATCTAATTCAGTGGTTTTCAGTGGTTCCAAAGCATAATAAAACAAATATTTAATAAAACAAATATTTATTTTTACGGCACAATCAAACAATATCAATAATAAATAAATCAGGGGAGGTTTGAAGAGGTTTCAAGTGCCGAAGGCCACTGCTTATCTTTAGGATTTGAGAGTGACCTGTGCTTGAAACCCCCTCAACCATCCACTACGTCAATATAAAACTTATTATACAAATATAGAAAAATATAATTATCTAAGCTAAAATTGCTTATTGGTCTAGTTTGGTGACATAGGAGAGCCCAGTTGAGTTTTAGTTTAGGTTTATGTTTTAAATCATAGTTTGAAAGGTTAGCCATGTTTCATGGCAGAGAGAGATATCATGTGTGCAGAGCCGTACCAGATGTAGAATTTGAGATATAATATAGATTAGTTACCATATATTAGGGTCACCTCGATTTTGGAGGGATAGCAAGTGCTTTTTAAGGTTAGATTTAATAATACCTGACAAGGCTGATAAGTCTGAATTTTTGGAAGACCCCGGGATTATTATCCCATCTACATTAGCATCACATATTTCGAATACATAGGGGATGAGATCATTCCATATTTTCGTAGAGGTGTACAAAAAGTTCTGTTGGGAGATATCTAACCTCAGTAATGGGACAATCAGACGAAGTTTTTCATTTCTAGGACAGAACTTGAAAAGATCTTTAATCGACTGGGGGACATCAAATTTAAGAATTTTGAATAGCTCCATAAATGTATGGTACATGTGCAGATTCTCCAGGTTCATAATTTTCTGCTCAGTGAATAGCGGTTTAGTGTGTTCAAGACAGTAGTTCTTTTTAGCCATATGTTCGTTATAAGTTCTTGAACGTGCACAGGTTAAGTAGTATTCTTTATGATCAAAATTGGGAATGTTACCAAATAGCAGTCGTATACATCGTTTTTGAATAGCAAAGATTTTATTCAGCTTATGTTTAGGGATCCCACCCCAGCAACTTATACAATAGCTAAGATGTGACATAAAAAGAGCATTGTATAGTTTCAAATATTCAGATTTGGGAATGAATTTGCAAATTCTCTTAATCGATACAATACTGGTATTCAGTATGGAGTTATGGAGTATGGAGTTATGGAGTTCAGCTTTAAAGATAAATGATTAAGATGTGGTTCCCAACATAGCTGTTCGTCTATTATCACCCCAAGAAATTTTGTACATTGAACTTTTTCTAGCTTTTTGCCATCTATTGAAATCGTTAGATTCCTGTTAAAGGGCCGTGTTCTAGCACAGGTCTGTGTTGCTCTTGACAAACCTGGCTGAAAATGCATAAAACAACTTTTCCCTGCATTTATATGTAACTTGTTAGACTCCATATAGTTACTGACCTGTTTCATTACATGATTAGCTTTTTCAAAAGCTTCCTGTGCTGAACGACCTATCACAAAAATATTTGTATCATCAGCAAACAGGACGAATTCAGCCAAACTTGAGGAGCTCACAATATCATTTATATAAATCAGAAATAGTAGAGGTCCTAACACTGACCCCTGGGGTACACCATACTCAACTGAACACTTGTCCGATTTTTCAGTTTGAAAAGAAGTTACTTGGCTACGGTTTGTTAGATAGCTAGCAAGAGTTTTTAGTGCAATACCTCTTACTCCATAGTGTTCAAGTTTATGCAGGAGTTTATCGTGCTCAATTGTGTCAAATGCTTTACTTAGATCAATAAATATTCCAATTACATGATTTTTCTGTTCAATCTCATTAAGTATTTTATTGACAGAATAGTTTACGGCATGAGATGTTGAGTGTTGTTTTCTAAAACCAAATTGTCGATCATAAATCACGTTCATAGCACTGAGGTAATTATATAACCTATTATAAATTATTTTTTCAAGTATTTTGCCAAATATCGGTAATGTAGAAACAGGTCGATAGTTATCAAGGCATCGTGAGTCTCCTTTTTTATAAATTGGTGTAATAGAGCCCGTTTTAAGCTTGTTTGGAAAGACCCCATTGTCCAAGAACCAATTAAAGAATCTAGAGATATGACCAGACAGATAATTTACACTCTTTTTTAAGACTTTAACAGAGATATCACTTGCCTTCCCATTTTCAAGGCTACCAATAATTTTACTTATCTCTTCCTCGTCACAGGGGCTGAGAAAAAAAGAGTTCACTATTCTTTCTCTGCCCTTGAGGTATTGTTTAAACTTCGTTTTATTGAAATTGCCATCAGTTACCGTACGAGATGGTACAGAAGATTGAACTTTTGAATTAAGATTACGAGCAATAGACGAGAAGTAGATGTTAAATCCGTTGGCAATCTCACGGCGTTCAGTTACAATTCTACCATCAATTAAGAATGATGCTTTTATATCTTTTTTAGATTTACCCCTGAGTTCGTTGATCAATTCCCAGGTTTTTTTAATATTTCCTTTAGCAAGTTCAAATTTTTTCCCATAGTGGGCTTTTTTCGCAGATTTTATAGCTTTGTTTAAGATAGAACGATACTCCTTATACTTAAGATATAAAGTTTCCTCACCTAATGGGTTGATTTTGGTACACGAAGCCTTCCATCGCTTGTAGTGAAAGCCTTTAGTAAACACAGATTTAATTAACGCAGAAGTGATCCATGGATTCATCAATCTATTGCGTTTTGATTGAAAACCAGCAGTACAGTCCACTTTGAAATTCAGTTCGATTTTTTCGTGGACAGTTTCGACAAATTTTTCAAAACCTTCCTCATCATACGAAAAGTTCGATTGGTAGATATCCTTTCCAATATCATTAAGGAAACTTTCTATATTAGACTCACAGTAATCATACTTAGGTTTAAGTTTGGCAGTATTTGAACTCTCTTTAATATTACACGATATGAAACAGAAGATGGGGTTATGATGGGAAATCTTGGATTCAAGAATTCCAGATCCTAACACACGCTCAGTAGAGTTCACTAAAATATTATCAATTAAGCTTTCATTGCAACCCGGCTTGGCATGGGTGGCAATCGATATCAAAGGGATTAAATTGTTACTGTAGATAGTTTGTTCAAATTCAGCTATGTTTCGTCCCTGGGCCAAAAGATCAACATTGAAGTCACCTGTCAAGGCTACATTATTAGACGGTAGAAATTTCATCAACACATCAAGCTCAGCAAGTGCATCTTGAATATCACCACTAGGGGGCCTGTAAACAACACCAGCAATCTGTGGAACCTCTGTGTTAGTGATCTCAACGAAAAGTGTTTCAAGATTGTCAGAGCATTTACATAACTTTTCGATTCGGCTGTATTGGTACTGATTGTCAATATATATACCAAGGCCACTACCTTTCTTTTTCCCATCAGTTTTAGAGTTGTACTCACTGCTGTAACCATCAATTTTGTATAGATCTTTATTTTCCTCATTAATGTTTGTTTCAGCTAGCGCAATAACTGCAAATTTCTCATCATATTGACTCATATCAGTAATAAAGCTGTCAAAGTTAGATGCGTTCCCATCAATGTTGTTAAACACAATAGATATAAACGGCTTGTTATGGTTAAGTATGTTTTTTGACAGCCGGTTGAAATTTGTCATGTTATAATACCTACAGTCTTTTAGAATGTTTGAAATAGTCTCCATATCCTCGTCTCTTTCTACAGTGTTGGGATCATATTTGTCATAAATAATTGAGTTAAAAGGATTGTACCTTTGGGATTTGAAGGCGTAACACTGACTGCAGTGCCACATTTGTTTAACATGATCAAATTTAAAACTCTGTTCAGAACATTTGGCATGATATATTGTATCGCAACTCTCACATATTATGATTTTATGATGGCTTAGTACATTGCTATCACAACCTGGACATCTCTCTCTTGTAATATTGAAGTTTATTGAGGTCATATCGGTAAGATATCACCCGTACTACCCCTACTTAGGGCACTCCTATAGTCACCATTTCCACCTTTAAATCTTTCCGTGGACTGACTTCCACCACGTTGTACAATACACCGTTTTATGTTCATACAAAATATTTTCAGGCCTTCTCTCCCGAGATGAACAACATCATTGACCAATGGTGTACCATCACGTGAGAATCTACCATACTTAGAGGGCATACATCCGTTAACAGAACCTAGTACAGAGTTATCTATAATAAACATGTTTTTCCTATTATAAACCATGTCGACAATTAAACTGTTTAACTCCCCTATACGTGAGTTAACAAACTGTGATTTGGTGGGCAAGAGTAAACTAATATGAACTTTACTATTAGGATAAAATTGCTGAATTTCACAACATTTCTTCTTAAGCTTAGCAATAAGTGTTCTAGTGGATGGTCTGTTGGAATCATCTCGAATATCATTGATTCCCGTATGTATAACAATGTTCCGAAAGGGGCCTATGTCTTTGGGAGCAGGAATATCGTCGATTTTAGCAGCCCACATTCGCTTACCGGGAACCCATTTTCCTAGAGTTCCAACATCTTTACCAAATTTAATGTACTTAGTGTTTGAGTCTCCAATTAACACTGTGCTATTTTTGTAGAAAGGCGCAATATGCCTAAAGGTAAAGCTGTACCTCACAGAAGTTTTCTCT